AAAAAGAAAATTACATAATCGTTTTACAAATACTTATAATCCTCTGATTTTGGATCTCCATAGCGCAAATATGGATATACTGGATGCATATGCTTGCTGTTCATATATAATTAATTATATTAACAAGTCTAACATGGTAGTTTCTAGGCGCTTAAATGAAGCTATATCAGAAGTAAATGCTGGAAATTATACTGTTAAGCAAAAACTTAAACATATAGGCCACAAATTGCTGCATTGGCTCCATCTTTCGGAAGCAAGTAATGCAGAAATATTTATAAATACATGTCTACCTGAGGAACGTGTTCGAATGGTGAAACCTAGAGCAGAACTTCAGAACCTTCCTTCAGGTTCGACTGAAATATTCGTAGCCGGTATTTTAGACCGTTATGTTCAAAGATCCGATCAGTTAGAATCTATTTGCTTAGCTGATTTTGCATTTATGTATAAATATGTTAAATCTAGTAGAAGAGCACAAGACAGTGGTCATGAAGAAGAAGAGAGGGAAAACGATAATTTACCAGAAAGCGGGGTTATCATGCCTCTTAAAGACGGGTATAGACTCGGTTTAGAAGGTTTAACCCAGATTTGGCCAGAGTTGAGTATTTCCTCGAAATGTTAATGCTTTATTATCCTTGGGGGAATGAACAGCAAGATCTCATTGAAAACGATAATGAGCAGACTTGCATAACACATCGTATTATAATTGAGGAAAATCAAAGAAAATATGATGTTTTTAAGCAAAGGGAACTTGAAAATGTTCTAGAAAGTCTTTATAGTGAAATAGACTTAGAAGAAGGTGCTAAAAATGAACTTCCTATCGTGGTAAATTAGTTCAGAGTGTTGGCACTTCCAGAAACAAACCCAAATATAAATTTGCTGGACTTGCATCGTGAAGATTCAACAGATAACGGCATTGAATCTGATTGCAATATTAGACTTATTAAACTACCCCCTTTAATTCGAGTTTAGGAATTACTTTCTTTAGTTCAATGTCTAAATACTCAGCAAAGATCCTATTTGACACATTTGACGCACCACCTAAAAAGAAATCTGCCATTTTATGAATTCATTGGCGGCG